GTGGTCAGTGTCAAACAGTGATCTCTGCAATATAGATTATCATCTTGCACCACATATCTAGTATAAATTCTAGCTGAAAATATATAAATTCAGCCCCATAGTAACAAATTCTTGGGAGTGATTTGTGTAGACACTTGAGTTTTTTAGTTCTCATTATATCTTTTGGATATAATACAGCTGCAGTGAAGAAATGCAAGAGACAAAGGCCATTCAGCTGAGCCTGTCTCTTTTGTGTGTGTGCCAAAGCATATAAACATGTGTGCCATAAGGGAAGGCCTTTTGTTGATTCAGCAAAAAATTTGGGATTGATAGAATAGGATTAAGTATTAGCTTTAAGCTTTGATTATTTTCATAAAAATTCCAAGGAATCTTAAAAGATAAGAAGCAGAAAACCTCCTAGAATTAAGTGAGTTTAATAATATTACAGGATCTAAGATTATCATACAAGTATCTGTTACAATGAATACTCAAAAACAAAACTTTAAAAATTAGCACCATTTGAGGATCAGCAGGTGGCCTGCTGGTTAAGTTGCTGGATTCCCACATAGCCGACTGCTGTTCGAGTCCCAGACCTGGTGACTTGAGACTCTAGCTAGTGCACATATGTGTTTGCCCAAAATCCTGAGGAAAATGGAAGAGAAGGGATTGTGGCATGGCTATCCACCCAGAGGGTTTTTTTTCTCACTTTCCCTTTCTCTCTCTCTTTTTCTGTTTGTCTGTCTTCAGTAAGCACACGGGCTCTATGGCAAAAACCTTAACAAAAAACAAAAAAAGTGTACCATTTGGCCTGGCTGTAGAGGTATAAGCGGTAGGGCACTCCAGCTACAAATACATGTATATATGTGTATACACATATAATATGTACATATAATATATAAGCCACTTTAGAAATGATCAGTTTATGTAGTCAAACTTGAACTTACTTTCTGACTCCGCAACTTCACCCCTAGGCGTTTCCCCTTGTGAAACGAATACTTATGATCACACAAAGTATTAAACATAGATGCATAAAGTAGCACAATTACCAAAAACTAAAAACAACCCAGATGTCTTCCAATTAGTGAATAAATATACAAAATATACTGTGATGTTTGTGTATTTTGTATTTAACTGTGGTAGACCCATAATATAGAATACTCTTCAACAGTATAAAGGACCAAACCATTGGTACGGGCAACAACATAGAAAAATCTCAAATGAAAGACTGATCCATGATATTTGCATATCAAGTTCAAAGTCATATCGTTTTGTTTTAATAAAGGGAAAGTTACAAACGAGATCCTTTTTCATTATGGATGCATTGTTAGATCTTCAGATAAGCACTGGTTTGCTGAAAAGGCTTAATAGTATTGCTTTCATGGTAGCAAAGGACAAGGACTTTAGGGAGTTTTAGAGATGCATAAATATTTAAAATATGTACTAAGCAAATATAATTTGTAACATATTAGGCAACTTCAGGCATCACATTTTTATTACTACTGATCGTTTTCTATGGCCTCTAGAAGAGGTCTTCAAAAAGTTCATGAAAAAATGTGTCTTTTGGAAAAAAACAATGCATGGATTTCAAAATGTTTTTGTTCCAAAATAAACTTAATTCATACTTTAATTCCATTTTTTTCATTAACTTGTTGAAATCCTCTTGTACTGAAATACCTTTTTAGTAATATCTTGAGTATAGCATTCAAAACTTATTCATCTTTAGCATTTTTTAATGAATTTGATTGTTATATATATTTAAAGAATTATGGATATTAAATTTTGCTTAGTCCTATCATATATTTTCTCAGGCTACATATCCAGCCTTGCTTCAACTGGGAAACTTAATGTATTCTTTCATTTTGCAGATACCGTGAAATATATAGGATCAGACATACTTGCTTATGATATAACCTAGGACCTATATAAGATATCTTGGGCCAGCCTGTGGTATGGCTGTTAAGGAGGCTGACTCCCACATGGCCAACCTGTGAAGTTTGAGTTCCAGACCTGTAGCTTGAAAAACATGCCAAGCACAAATGCATGCATGCCCCAGATACTGAGAGGACAATGGAGAAGGAATTGGGGGGTGATCATGCTACCTAGGAAGTGCTTTCTCACTCTCACTTTTTTTTTCTCTCTCGGGTAAGCACATGCATCCTATGGTAAACTAAAAAAAAAAAAAAGACGAAGAAGAAAAAAGAAACCTTTACTTTCCTTTTGATATTAGATGTACTCTCCCATGTTTTCTTTCAGAAGTTTTAAAGTTTTGACTTTTATGTTTAGGATTTTGACCTACCTTGATTGGAAATCATATATGCTGTGAGGTGGGGGTTGAAGAAAAAAAGATTTTTTAACCCATAAGGCTCTTTAGCTGTTTCAATACCATTTGTTAAAATACTTTTTTTCCCCCATTGTTGTTGTGTCATCTCTGTTGAAAATAAATGTCTGTTTCTGGCTGTATTATCTATTTCTTTATTCTAAATGCTACAACACTGGCTTGATTACTGTAGTTTTACAGAAATCTGTAGTCAGGTAATATAAATCCTCTATAGTTCTTTGTCTAGTACTTTTTAGCTTCCCAATTCATCTCTAATGGGTAGAAGCAGAGGCTCATGAGAAGAAATGTTTTGTGGTCATGATTAGAAGAGGGTTTTTGTTTTACTTCGGTTTAGTTTTGTTTTTAAAATCTTTTCCTTCTGTTCATAATAGAGCTCATGCATGTGTGAGTATGAAAGTAAAGGAGAGCAAGAGAGAGATAGAAACCCTCTCCAGTGCCTGGTCAAACCAAATCCTCTTCCAATCCCTTCTACATTCCCCTCTTGGGATTTTGGGCACACACACACACACACACGTACACCACGTAAGTTTAAGCCGCCAGGTCCAGGACTTGAACTATGATCAACTACATGGGAGTCCAGCGATATAACCAGTATGCCATCTGCTAGTCCCTACTTTCTAGTTTTAAATACTCATGAGTCAGAGAAGAAGTCCTAACTGAAATTAGAAAGTATTATAAACTAAATGAAAATGAAAACAATCACAACATACTGGAATTACTTGTATATATCGAAAGCAGTAGAAATGTGAGCATTTAAAACATATATTAGAGGGGACCAGCAGTTGGAGTAATGGCTATGTCACTGAACTCCCACATAGCTAACTGCAGTTCGAGTCCCAGACCCGGTGGCTTAAACTCATGCTGGGCATGTGTGCATGCGTGCCCAAGATCTTTCTCACTTTCTGTCTCTCTGTCTCTTTCTGGAGAGCACACGTACCCTATAGCAAAAACCTCTCAAAACAAACAAACAAACTAAAACATATATTAGAGAAGAAGAAAGGTCAAGACCAGCAGTTAGTGTAATGGCTATGTCACTGAACTCCCATGTAGTTGACCGTGGTTCGAGTCCTGGACCCGGTGGCTTAAACTCATGCCACGCACGTGTGTGGGGGTGTCCAAGATCCTGAGAAAAGAATGGAGGGGAATGGAGGTGAAGGAATTGCAGCGTGGCCTGGGGGTGACTTCTCACTTTCTGTCTCTCTCTCTGTTTCTCTCTTTTCGGCGAGCGCACGTGCCCTATGGCAAAAACCTCTCCAAAAAAAAAAGATCATAATTCAGTAATTTCAGCTTTCACAGTAAGAACCCACAAAGAGGAGTCAGCAGGTGAAACTGCACTGATACAGTATTCCACGAGGCTGGGCCCACATGGGAAGGTCCCAAGTACACATTCAAAGTCCTCCCTGTAAATGGGGGAGCCATGTGCTTATACCTGTATCCATGCTGGCTAAAGCTGGGATGGATTGTGTCATAAAGACCCTGGTGAGGGTGCCTGTTTGTCTGTGTCTCATTCACAGAAGTAAATAAACAAAAAGAGAAGAAAGAAATTAGAAGAAAAAAAAGAAATTAGAAAAGTAAAGATAAGTGAAACCAAAAGTTTGCGGGACTATAATAAAGATCAAGGAGGAAATCAATGAAACAGAAAATAGAGAAAATCAGTGAAGCTAACCTGGTTCTTTGAGAAGATAATAAAATGGCTAAAACTGTAGTCACATAGATCAGGCAGAAAGAAAATATAAATTACAAAATCTGTAATGGCAGAGATTTCATCTCTACAGGTTCTGAAGATATTAAAAGAATAAAAACATTTATAAGATAGTAATGATATTATGAGCAACTGTATACACATAAATTTTATAGTTTGCATTAAAGGGTTAAATCTCATGAGAAACACAGACTACCAAAGCTCACTCTAGGATAAATAAACAACTTGAATAGTTCTATATTTATTAAAGAAATTATATTTAAAAACCAGGAAGTGGGAGCTATCAGATGGTATGGTAGGTAAGGTGCCGGACTTGCACATGGTCGACCACGGTTCAAGTCCTGAACCTGGCGGTTTGCTTTCTGATTTTCTCTCTTTATCTCTCTCTCCCTCTGTCTCTCTCTGGTCAAATTAAAAATAATAGCAATAAATAAAAGAATAAATAATAAATAATTTTTAAAAACAAACAAATGAGTAGTATGGAAGGAACATTTAGGAAAAGAGACATATCCCAAGATACAGACAAAAAGAAAGCATAAAGCTGTAGTTTAATATGGTAGCCACTAGCTACCTGTGACAATTTATATGTAAATTAATTAGAATTTAATTGAAAAAATTTTGTTCCCTAGTTACACTTAGTACATTTTAAGTTACCAGCTATCCACATGTGTTGGTATTATACAGAACAGATATTTACATTATCAGAGAAAGTTCCATTAAAGCTGTCATAATGTGTATAGGAAGCTTGGGTTCAATTTGATGACAGTGTAGGTTGTGATGATGAGACTGATGTTGTAAAGGCAAGTAGGAAAAAAATGATGCTGGAAGAGTCTAAGCTTACTTCAAATCATTGAGTGTCTTCAATGGCAAAGGTGTTTGGATTTATCCTATAGGACACCAGCTGGGTGGAGTAGGGGGTGTTTGGTTTTGATTATTAAAGGTAGGTGTTGATGAGTTGATCCAGTTTGTGTTTTTAAAAAGTCTTTCTAGCAGTAAGATAAAAGATGAATTATAAGGGTGAAATCATTATTCAGGAGCTCACTCGCTGTAGATCAGTAGTCCAGATAAGAGAGATGTTAAGGACTGAGCTAAATCAAGCAATGAGTATAGAGAGGAGGAGACAGAATTAACTGATATTTAGAGCTAGCATAAGTAAGATTTGTTGTGAGAGCTAACAGGATCTGAAGGACACTGATTTCTGGTCAAGGCATAATAGAGTTGGGATAGGAGATACATAGGGAAAAAATATGTTTTAAAAAGAGAAAAATGTAACTCTAATTTTGGCCACATTAACTTTGATGATAGGCTTAATTTAATTTAAGTAAGAGTCTGAAGTTCACTAAATTCAGGACCAAGAATGTGTTTCAGGAAGTTCCTACAATAGAGTTGACTTTTGAGACTTTGAGTTTGGGTGAGATTGCCCAAAGAGAACATAGAACCTAAAAAGAGAAAAAAATCCAATGACAGACCCCAACATTCTTTAGGTGTAGAAATATAGGACCTTAGAATAAGAATGAAAAACAGTAATTCGAGAAAAAGGAAAGAGTATTAATAGAGTAGTGCCAACGTGAGCCCAAGGAAGATACCATCTCAAGGAGGGTGGCTGGTCCAAGGCAGTCATAAAACATATGTTGGATTTGTTAAACAGAAAGTCATTTGGGACTTTTACAAAAGCAGTGTACTACAATAAATCACCAAGGAAATTCAGACCCTCAGGGTTGAGTTTGTAAAAGGTCATGGGGAGTACCAGATGACATTCAGTCATGTAAGTTATCCTTGTTTTCCTTGTTAGATAATGTACCACAGTGTTTTTATGATAAAGATTAAGTATAGGAATAAGAAAAGTCTTTTATAAACTCTATAAAGTGGGGAATTTACAGAATTATGATGACTTTTAGTTGAAGTCTATATTTAAGGTAAGGAAATGGGTGGGAAGATTTTAGGTAGAAGATAGTAAAACATTGTACAAAATCATTGTAAAATACTAGGGATTCTAGAGGACCCTTAAGTGATGTAGGAAGTTTTTGTTGTCATAACAACGTTGCTTTCTATTCTAGAAGTATAGATAGGCTGGATGTGTATGTGTATGTGTGTATAGGAGTGTTGGTAGTGGTACATCATTGGTAGTGGTTCATCATTGCTGAGTACGGTGCCCTAATGAGATGGAGATAAAAGTCTTGACCATTTAGGGGAAAAAAACTCCAACAGAATGTTATGGTGATTAAGAGTATGGAGCCTGGTACGTACTGCTAGGATCTGAATTGTGGGTTCAGAGTTTTTTGCTGTATGATCCTGAGTGATTTTCTTCACTTCATTGTATCTCAGTTTTTTCATCTATAAAATAAGTCGTTAATCGTGTTTTTTTGTGACCTTTAGTACAGTGTCTGAAATGTAATAAGTAAACAGTAAGTGTAACGCCTGTTATTTTATTGTGCATGATTATGAAGAGTTTCACAAAAGTGGAGTGTTATTGCTGTTGGCATATGCTTTTGGTTTTGTACTTTAAAATTTTTCTTCAGGTTTAACTATAACACGTCTAGCAGTGTATGCGTTTAACCTTCTTGGAGTACTTTGAACTTCTCTGGCCTGTGATTTGTTTAATTTTACAAAGTTCTTGACCATTATCTTTTCAGATATTTATTTTGCCTACTTCTCTCTCTTATCTCCTTGTGGTATGCCAGATATACATGTTTTATTTGGTCTTGCAAATGGAATGTTCAGTTCTTTTTATTTTCTTTGTGTTTCCTTTTGGATAATTACTATTGCCTTATTTTCAAGTTCTTTGCTTTTTTTCTATACTGTCTCTAGTTGACTGATAAGGCCATTGAAAGAATTCTCTATTTCTTATATCTTTTTTCCTCCTTTTTTAAAAATAGTTTGTTTTTTGTTTGTTCGTTTTTGTCTTAGGGCATCTGTGCTAGCTAAAGAGAAAGGGAGACAGTGAAAGGGAAAGTGGGAAACCACTTCCCAGAGGGAATGGCCATTCCACAATCCCTTCTTAGTTCTCCTCTCAGGATCTTGAGCACAGATGCACATGTACCCAGTGTGATTTTCAAGCCTCTGGGTCTGGGATTCAAACCATGGTTGGCCATGAGGGAGTCCAGCAACATAACCATTACACCATCTGCTGGCCCCTTGTTCTTTTCTTATTAAAGGCATTTCCATGTGATTATTCCTGATACTGTTCCCTTTGCTGAAATTCCCCCATTTGCACATTCATATGCTCATCTTCTCTATTAAGGCCTACAAAATCTTATTTTAAAGTTCTCGTCTACCAGTTTCAACATCTCAGTTATTTCTCCATCCACCTTGTTGATCATTTTATTTCTTGAATATTGATGGGAATCTTTCCCCCCTAGTATTTCTGTTTTGTTACTTTATTTTTAATTTAATGTCTGACAGTATGTTTTAAAAAATAGTAGAGACTGAGATAAATCATATTTATGCCCCAAAATGAGTACCTCTATTATATTAGGTAGGAATTTAGTTTGTGGTTTGAGCATTCTAATCAAGTTGGGAGTTTAGGTGTAATTGTTACTTATAGTTTGTTAGCTTCAATAATTTAATTCCTCCACTGGACAGTTTATGTCACTTTGTGCTTAGTGTGAGTTCTGGAGTACAGACAGGTTTTTCCTAGTGTTCTTGGGCCCTGAGTGTAGGTAGAGATTATGGGGCTGAACGAAATCCTAACCCCAGTGTGTCTTTAGAAAGTAATCAGGTCTTGTGAATAGGATTAGTGTTAGTACCCTTATAAAAGAGATCTTAGAGAATTCTTGTGCCCTCATTTTCTATGTGAAGATAGAGACAAGTTACTAGTCTGCAACCCAGAGAGGGCCCTTAACTGGAACCTGACCAGGCGGTTACTGTCATCTCAGAATTCCAACATCGGAACTGTGAGAAATAAATATTGTTTATAAGCCAGTAGTCTATACTTTGTTCTAGCAGTCTGGACCAAGAGTGTTTCCTTACATCTTCTTGGCAACTTTCTGCTTTTGCTTTCTTAGAAGGAAGGGTCCAAGAAGTAAGCACAGTTTTGTACATAGCTTCCACTGAGGAAAACTGCCCTAAGTTTGGTTCTGCATTTGTTATTAATTTTTTAAGAATGATTTTATTTGACTTTATTTATTCTATTTATTTTTATCATTTATTTTAATTTGATCAGAGAGGTACAGAGTGAGAGAGACCCAGAGAGAGAAAAGGAAAGTGAGGAAGCCACCAGGTCCAGGACTCAAACCGTGACTGGCCATGTGGGAGTCCAGTGCCCTTAACCACCACACTACCTGGCAGCCCCATACATTCAGTATTTCTTAAAAGCTCCTGGTAGAGGGACCAGCAGATTGTGTAATGGTTATCTTGCTTGATTCCCACGTAATCGACCGTGGTCCAAGTCCCAGACCTGGTGGCTTAAACCTCAAGTCAGGTGCATGTGTGTGCGTGCACCTTAGAGGAGAATGGAGGAGAAGGGATTGCAGCATGGCCATCCCCCTGGGGAATGATTTCTCTCTTTCTGTCTCTCTGGCTAGCATACATGCCCTATAACAAAAATATCTCTCTGAAAAACAGTAAATAAAGAAAATAAAAAGCCTGTTAGAGGCCTGTGAAGCTCTAATAAGTGAATGCATACTGTTCTTTTGTCTGGTACTCTCAGGAGTGTTTAACTGGTACAGTCGCTTATGTTCAGCCTTTAAGAATTTGTTTAAAATTTTGGCTTTTTCTTTCTTATTTTCTTTTTATGGGCACCTCTTTCTCCTTCTGGCTTCTGTGTCTGTCTCTCCTAAACCCTTTGGAATTCAGTTCACCTGGTTACTTTGTGACATAAACCTTCTGATGGGTCCCCAAAAATTATATTTTGCAAATTATATGGCTTTTTCTCATCATTGGTATGGAAGCAACATTCTCTTGAGACATTCTACATTCTGCGGGTGGACCTCCTTTTTAGTCATGATTTATCTCTTTTAGATTAGTTAGTTTTATGTATGAATAAACACTTGATATTTATTAAACTGCCTCTTCTAGGGTCAGCCCCATAATCTAAAGGTTAAGGGAGCCAAATCACATATGGCTTACCATGGTTTCAATCCCAGCCCTGGCAACTTTAAAAATGCACTTGGGTGCATGTATGTGCAAGCCCCAAATCCCAACATGATGGGGAAATGGAGAAGATTTTATGGTGTGACCATACCCCACTCAGGGGTGTTTTCCTCCTCTCTCCCTTTCTCTCTCTGCCTCTTTGTCTCTGTCTGGAGAGTGCATGTGCACACTGGCAATTTAAAACCAAAAATAACTGCCTTTTCTAATTTTGAATCTGACAAAAGCAAATTTGAAAATAATTTGAAAATAATAGCAATTTATGAATGACTAGGATTATGTTCTATAATAGGCATTTTGAATACTATGAAGAGATATCATATAAAGTGTGTTCTTGTGATGAGGTTAATTGTGTATCATGATGCTTTGATCCTATAGCATTAGAAAAATGGCCCTCCTCCTGTGCTCTGCATCTAGTTATAGAATCCACTTGATAATTATTATTCTACCCTTTGATTAAATCAGATAACTGCAATGGCTACTCATTTTTGCCTTAATTCTTTTTCTGTTTAAGTATAAGATTAATAAAGAGTACACTATTTGAAATGAATCTGAACCTTACGGTATAGCACTAATATGATAGCAGTTTCATAGCAATTGACAATAATTGTATTAAAGTAAACAATTTTCATTCTAAGCTTAGGGCCCTACACTTTGCCATAGTTACTAGTTTTTGCTATATACTATCTTTGTGCTTATGTTCCTCCATTGGTTGTTTATGTTTCATTAGGGCCTTCACTAGGAGTTACACGCCCCGTTTTTCTTGTTTTTTTTTTTGTTTTTGTTTTTTTTTCCCCTACATTGTTCCAATGAACAGCAAGGAAAAAGGCAGAAATCCCAAACAATAAAGAGTATTTTGGCTAGGATTTGAATATATGAAGACAAGTTTAGACATCCTGACCTTTTTCTCTGCAGGTAATGAGAGGGTTTCTCATTCTCATTGACCTCACTTTTAAGGAAGTTTAGCACTGTTGCATATTTGAAGATTTTTTTCTCTGACTTTTAGAAATGTAAAATATTAATTTACTCTCCAGCTTTTATCTTAAGCCAGAAATAAAGTGGTCAGTAATGTGCCATTTTACAAAGTTTCTGCTGTTTTTATTTATCTTTTAAATTTATTTGCTTTAGAGAACATCTGCTATAATAAATTTTTGAAATTCACCTAGCTTTGCTATTTTATTTTTTAATTTTGGTTTTATTTTAACATTTAATACTTTACTTATGCTTGTATATATCTCTATAAGAATATTTTACTCATAAAGTTCCACCTTGCATATTATATTTCACAGAAACTGTGATGTATAATTTAACAAAATCAGCTATAAAAGATTTAAACCATGTGCACTTACATGTAATGGCCTTTTCCCTACTTTCTATCCGTTTATTTTACATCTTCAAGGAAGCATACAGGGAAAAAAAATATAATATGAACAAAATTAAGTTCTTGTTGAAAGTAAGTTTATGATGCTCTTACTGTCTTTATGACACAGACCATTTTCAACATCTCAACGATCATAGTCAATCCTTTGATTTTCATTAGAAAAAGTTTGAAATTTTAAGTATTTCTGTAACTGACATTTATTATAATTGCTCCCAAAAGAGAAATAAAACTCAATAGTAAGTGTGGGAAAATGACTCCATAGGATATTCTCAAGCATTTGCTCTGAGGTAAAAAGC